TGAAACTCAGCTCTGCCCCCATACCACCTATCCCTACTTGGCCAGGATGTTTTTACATTGACTTGTACAGAGATGATCGCAAACAAAAACTCCCAGAGGGTCGGATCGGAGGCCTGCGTGTAAGCTCCCCATAACTATCCGTGGGACCGGGAGGGTCTAGGAAATCCTTCAGGAAGCCAGGCACCGTGCCAGACTCCTGAAGGAAGGAGGTATACTGCAGGCCTCTGCTAGCGGAGGCGAGGTCTAGTGGATGAGACAAACCGCCTGGGGGCCTCGGCTTCTCCCTCTGTATTATATATAATCTATAAGGACGATCTCAGCTCAGCGGCTAGTGTGAGAGAGAGTGCTTTGCAACATTGGGAAGCGCCACGTACAGGCAGCGGCCGTTGGCTCTCCTGTTCCTACCAGGGCTGGCGGCGCGCTCCCGAGACCAGCTGAAGGCCGGCGGCCGGACGCTCACCTGCTCGTTGAGGAACACCGCCAGCACCACGTAGCAGACATTCTTCCGCAGCCGCACGGGCGACAGCGGCTTGCCAGCCGGCTCCGAGTCACAGCTCTGCACCAGCAACCCCTTGCCCCCCAGCACGGTGGCCAGCGCCCCCGTCAGGCCTTCCGAGGCCATCAAGTCTCCAGGGAGCTGGCAAGCCAGGACTCGCCAGACCCCTAGGAGGCAGGCGGCGGGGACCGAAGCTGCGACGAACCGCTGAGCCCCTCGCCCCCTCCCCTGCCTTGGGGGCCAAGGCTAACGCGGAACCTCCAGGAGAGACCGGGCTGCTGATAGGCTGCGCGTCACCACGGCCTGCCCAGATTGGTCAGCTGGCAGCAGTTACCGTGGGGGCGGGGCTCCGGGGACACGCCCTCTGCCCCCTCCCCCCACCTCTCCCGGGTTTCAGTCGCTGATCGCTCACTCCTCACTCTCCCCAGCTCTTTGCTAATTCACCCAGCAGGCACTTGTCCGCGCGGGTTCCGACGGTGATGTCATCCTGCCTGTAGGGTGCTGAACACCACCGCGACCAGGGTCGGTGGCGTCACTCTCTGATGACATTACGGAAGCCTAGGCTCCGCAGTTAGCTCCCACTGTCCAGGTTTATCATAAACAAACTAGAGAAGTGCTCAAGACGAACAGGCCCTAAATAACTTTCTGACTTCGTTAACATTTTCTGAACGTCATGTGGCTGGGGCACATAACGTTGCCTGGGACATTCTGATCTGTATAGATTGATGGACCCAGGCATTTAAAAAGGCAGCTGCAGGATTGGTTTGGGCAAACGAAGTGATTGATGAGGCTCAGAGGAGAGATGGGACAGGACTGGTATGGTCAAGGTGGGACAAGACTGGGGGTGAAGGAAAGGAATGTGGGAGGAGGAAGAAAAGGAGCTTGGAGACCTCGATGCAGCCCCCACCAAATCCCCCCTGCTCAATGCATTTGCCATGCGGTTTCAAGGCTTCTGCAGCAGATTGCATCCTTAGAGGGCAGGGGTGGTGCCCTCCTACCCAGCATGCAGGGCCTGGCCATGGGGAACAGGGTGTGGGTTGTTTTGGCCAGCTCTTGCTTCTCTCCCAGGCTGACCTTTCCTCCGAAGAGCTTCTTTAACCTCGGCTCAGGATAGGAAGGCAGGGCCAGCTGGGAGGAATCCACAGAGCAGGCCAAGTCTGGGCTCCTCACCCCATCCTAGCTGTCCCTTTCCTCCTCCCTCCTGCTGGCTCTGTGTGCCTTCTTTGGGGGACAGTGGCTTGGTGGTGCTGACAAAGCTCTGGAGTTTAAGCCAGACACCCAGCCACTGCTGGCTGGCTCTTTCTGTGCCCTGGTCTCAATTTCCTCATCTGTAAAGTAGGTCTATAGCAACCCTCCCCCCTGGTTGTTGAGAGGTCAGCATGGCCTGGGAGGAGCTGTGTGGACTATCTCAGCAGTCACCAGGCAGCCCACCTATTCTCCAGTTAGAACAGCAAAGCCACAGCACTTGGTGCTACACAAAGGCCAGCCCATAGAGCCCCTGTGAAACTGGGGAGTATAGCTCAGCATACATAAGGCCCTGGGCTCATTCCTCAGCACCACAAAGCAAACAAAAAAGCTTCTATGCTCCTTGGACTTCACTCCCAGTATCTCAGTCCCATAGGACAGGTCATCTAGCCATTCTCCCTGATGCTGATCCAAACTCCCTGGAGACACATCTATGTGAGGTAGGACACACCTAGTGGCCCACAGTATTTTGAGGCACTTGAACACTGCTTGCCTTGAGGCCACTGAAAGCTTCCCACCTCCAAAAAACTGCAGTCATTGGCAGAGAGGCAAGATCAGGCCCCAGGGTGCAGATCTGCTTTAAGTTCTCCCCTCCTTTCCTTTCCCTTCCTTCCCCCCCCACCTCTTCTCTCTTCCTCTCCTCACCCCTCCTTCTTTCTCCTCCCCTTTGGTTATTCCTCTCTCCTTCCCTTCCCTTTCCTCTACTCCCCTTTCTCTCTTCCCTCATCACTCTTTGTTTAGATCTTTTAGTTCCTCAATTGTCCCATCTGTAAAGTGGAGGCAGCACTGGTCATAGACTCCATTCTGCCCCCCAGGGATGATTTGGGAGAGGGTGAGATCATGTCTGGGCAGGCTGGGAGAGCTGCAGAGGCGTCCTAAGATAAACAGCAGACAGCCTAACCGCCTGGAAGAGCAAAGGCTGCCACAACCGCAGTTCCATTCTCCCATTATCATGGGGGAAGGGGAAAACACTGCTGTGGAGGGCCTAATTGCCTCATCACAAGCCACAGTGAAGCAATAGAACACTGAAAGCCCCTTGTAAACACAGAAGGCATTTGAAGAGGGTACAGTCCTTCCCAGAGTACCTGGCAACAAAAAAGGTTGAATTTCTCGAGGCCTTGGGGAAAAGACAGGTGAGCAAGTCCTGGACAGAAAGGGGATCATGTGGCAGGGAAGGAAACTGAGACAGACCCCACCCCTCCAAGTATGTCTTCTAGCCTTTGGTGGGGGTAGGGGTGGGGAGTGGGCAGCCATGGCCAAGCATAGTCTGAGTAGTAGACCTCTCCCATCACCTATGGGAGTAGGCCATCTTAGGGTGCACACACGCAGATGTGTAAATGACCTTGTGAACGGAGAGATCTGAGGTAAGCAGTCAGGTACACTGGGACAGGGCTGGACAGGCAGGATGAGGCAAGGGTGTCTGGGATGCTAGGGTCCTTTACAATGTAGCAAATCCTGTCCCTTGACAAAGAAGAGACCTACCAAGAAGCACAGTAGAAGGATGGGCCTTGGGATCTAAACTACTAACTCCTTGAAAGACCTTGGAGTCATCATCACAGTATAGATCAGACACAGGCATTTCTAGATGTTGGGACACAAAAACAGTACTAGGGGGAACACTGGTAAAATTCTTATCAAGCAGTGGCTTCCCATATAGGATTATAGTAATGTTGAGGTCTTGGTAGTGATAAAAGCAGAATGTTTGTATAAGATATTCCCACTAGTGGACACTAGGTAAAGGTCATGAAACGCAAAACTTTTTTTTTTCTTGATTTTTCGGGACAGGGTTTCTCCAAGTAACAGCTCTGCTGTCCTGGAACTCTCTTTGTAGACCAGGCTGGCCTTGAACTCACCAAGATCTGCCTGCCTCTGCCTTCCGAGTGTTGGGATTAAAGCTGTGCGCCACCACTGCCCGGCAGTAACTGAAAGCTTTATGTGTTATATTTGTTTTGGCTTTTTTGAGGGTTTTGTTTATTTTTTTAGAGACGGGGGTCTCACTATTTAACCCTGGATGACCTTGAACTCACAGAGATCTGCCTGTCTGTACCTCTCAAGGGCTGAGATTTAAAGGTATGTGCTACCACGCCACACTATGCCCTCTACTTGCAATTTTATTGTAAGCCTATCATTATTTCAAGATAAAATGTAGGAGAATTTTATAAGAAAAAGGGAAAAGAAGCTAATGGACGGAGATACACCCCTGAGCTCACTTCCAACCTTTTAGCTGGTGTCACGTTGGGTCTGACACAAGTAGTGGAGCTGGAGGTTGGCATGGAACCCACTGACCCTGGCAAAAGCAGAGAACCAGGAGCTCTGCTGGGAGCAGTGCCAACCAAGGGCCCCCGCCTATGTCTCAGGGTCAGATACTACTTGGGCTTGCTCTATTCTTGGTCCAATCCTAGAATAAATGAGCGCTGGCCCAGCTGCTGTTTTTAAGAGCCAGACAAACAGACCCTCAAGGGAGTTATGATGGTGGGGGAGGACTGTCCAGGGAGGATTGATGCCCACATGCCTCTACCATTCCACCCCAACTAACGAAGTTCAGGGTTACATCTTTCCTAGGAAGGATCCTGTAGTTTGGGCTCAGGTGACAAGGTTGTAGATGGCAAAGTGTTAAGTAAGAACATGTCACTCAGTGCCACTTGGAACAAGATCAGCACTACAGTCATGAGGAGGGAGGAGCAGAAAAGCCTGTCTTTAAACTCCATGAAGCACTAAAACTAGAATGTAAGCAAGGTGTCTTGAGTCAGCAAACTTGGTTCAAATCCCATTCTGCCACTAAAATGGCTGGGTAACCTTGGGTGACTTATTTAGTCCCAAACTGCCCGTTTCTTCGGTAAGATGGAAATAGATTGTCTGTACCTCAAAATAGCATCAGGGATTAAATGAGATGGTTTAAATGAAATGAAAAGGACACTGTAGAACATAGCTGTTCTCTAGAGTCCCCCATTCCTTTTAATAATAATAAAAAAGGTGAAAATGAAAAGCTTAACTCTTTTTCTTTTTAAGATGGGGTCTCATGAAGTGAGTTGGTCTCAGACTCACAATGTAGCCAAGGCTGGCCCTGAACTACTGATCCTCTTGCCTTTCCATCTCTCCTAGTATTGGGCTTACAGGTGTGTTCCATCACACCCAGCTATATATAACACAGCTTAAAAGAAAATGCCAGAAGAAAATACAGCAAAATCTATCAACATTTGGGTCGGTCGAGATGGGGTTGTGGATGACTTGGTTGTTTTCTAAATGCTCTGAACAGATGTTATATTTATAATAAAAATGTTTATTTAATTAAAAAAAATCCCCAAACCACAGCAGGAACAGTTAAGTATAACAAGAGCTGGCGCATTTGTGCGGTTGAGATACACAGGGGAAGAGGTAGAGAGCAAAGCGTTACCAGAAGGGCCACAGGGCAGGGGGTCAGCTGTCTGAGGCAGCGAAGCTCTGTCTTGGGGGGCCTGGACACCAAGAGCAGTTGGGCTGAGCAAGGGTTCTCCTGTCTTTCCAGATCAGAGCACACAGGATACGTGGGACAGAGGCAGGGGGATTTGTAATCTCCACAGGCTGATGCCACCCAGGGAGGCTGTCTCAGTGCTGCACCCTAGAACTCTGCCTTTTCTGCTGTCAGTCAGGAACATCTTTAGTTTCCAGAAAGCTCCAGGGGTCCGGGCCTCCCCAAGATCTGGCAGTGGTATATGAGGTCTCTGTCTGCCGGTCTCTGCTCCAGAGCAGATTTCTGTGTTTGCCTTCTCTCCCCAGCCCTCCTGGCAGGCAGAGTAAGGCCAACCTAAGCTGGCAGCAGTCACCAAACAACCGATTTTAATACAGACTGGGAGGCAGAGAGGTAGACACAGTGACACTGCTCACATCATTCCCTCCAGCCAGCCTGGGCCATTAACTGAGGCCATCTCCTCCCTAACTCCACAGCTCCTCTGTAAGGGAAGAATTCTGTGGCTCCCAATCCAGCAGACCTATATTCAGAAGGGCTATTCAGGAGCTTCATGTAGGTGGTGTGAGCTGTAGCATAACTGGGGACCCAGGGACAACACAGGATGAGGCAATAGAAGGGAGTGTTGATAAAGCCAAAACAATTCCCAAGCTTCCCCAAGGAAGGGTGTTCATCATCCCCTGGGGCGGAGTACAAGGGTTGGAAGGAATCATTTACCCCTAGTATAAACCTGATACCATGGAGAGGAAGGCCATGGGGGAGCAGGTGTACACTTCAGTGGCACTACAGTTGTTCCCTTTAGGGCTAGGGCCAAGGTGAGGAATTCCCTGCTTATGCCCAAAGTGATATTTGTGGGACAGACCACACCCTCTAAGTTCCCCAGTACCATTCCTTGTTGAAATTCTGCAAAGACTGAGTACTTGGTTACCTGCCCACCACCCCTGCAGGAACCAGGATCCCCTATTTGGCTTCCTGTAATGTACCCACAGCCACCTTCACTGCTTGAAACACAGCCCGATCCATCTAGGAAAAAAAACAAAACAAAACAGAATTTTCAATCGTGTCCCAGCCCCCTACCCTTCTCAAGGACACCTTTATCTGGCAACTGACAGGCTAGTAGCCCACTCAGTTAATATAGATCTGTCCTGCCTACTGAGGCCATGCTTCAAGGAGACCAGGGCAGCAGCACACACAGACTACTGGCCAGTGTCACACTCACCTGGGCATAAAGCATACGGTGGTCAGGAGGCAGGCTGGCTCCCTGGTGGCAGAGCTGAGCAGAGAGGGCACAGGTCTCAGGAGACAGAAAGTGCTGGGTGACACTGATTGTACTCACCAGGCCCTGCACCTGTGCCGTGGGGGGGGGGGCGGGGGACAAAGGCAAGATGGTGAATAGAGGCTCAACCATACTTTCCTTATCCCTCTGACCACAGAAGTCTACTTCCCCATCCAACTTTCAGGAAGCAGTAACCATGGTTATAGTACCAGGCATCCCAAAGGGTGTGGCCAGAACAAGTCCTGAGGGTTGCTGGAGTGCTGAGTGAGTTAGTTGGCTGAGACTAGATCAGATCTCTAGAGAGAGTCCCGTATAGCTATGAAGACTTCAAAACCCTCAGCCTTGCCATCTCCATGGCTTCCTGCCCTGCCTAGCTTTCTGTCAGGTAGAGGATCCCGTGTGATCATGATACTGATACGGTGTTCTTGCTACTTCTAATCTTCTGCTAAGTCCCACCCACCAGGGAAGCACCTGATGGGGTGCTCCAGCAGGGACCAGCACCGCCTCTCCAGGGGCTTGCAGCAGAGTCCAGCAGCTCACACCCCACTCCTCTCTTAGACGACGTCGCAATCCTGCATCCAAGTAGCAGCTGCCTGGGGCACCAGGCTCCAAGGTCCCTGCTCCAGCTGGACACACCTTAAAGAAAAGAAAGAAACATGAATACCCATGGGAATGAAGGCAGGGATTCAAGAGAGGAAGGGGTGTGGTCTCTTTGGAGGACCAGGTGCAATAGGATGCTGAAACAGTCTTGAAGGGTAGGCAAAAGAGGAAAGAAGTAGGAGAGCAAGCAGGCTTTGGTAGCAAACGACGGGGCGGGGGGGGGGGGGGGGGGGAGTTGAGAGGGGTTTGTAGGTTCAGGTTGGGCTGGAAGGACCTTAGAGCAAAAGACACTCAAGCTAGAGAGGAGGGATCTCAGTCTGCTTTTCCTAGGATGTGCCTTTCATAGCCTTTGTGACCCTGGCCTGACCCCTTGCTCTCTCAGGGTCCCCTTCTCCAAAACCCAGGAAGATGTCCCACACAAGCCCCATTCACAAGGAACTCTTAAGTTTTTGTAAACAGCCTGCATTATAAACCAGATTGTGGAGAAACTGGTAGCTTCCCCGGGGACACAATCTGGGATTCAGGAAAGGCAGGGTCAAACAGAAGTTCTGACTCGCACTGGGTGGACAAGCTGAGGCCCCTGCAGCAGGCACAGCTATGGGAGCCATCATCAGCCCAGGTGGAGTCAGAGTTCCATGGGCAGGCAGGGACAAGTGGAGGGGACACCTGTAGAAGTGACTGCCAGCACCATGCTGCAACTGGCCACCAGCTAAACCCACCCCCTCAGCTATTGTCCCTGGATTGAGAGTGTGCTGGCAGGGGTGGGGAGGAGTTGGGAGACTTGTGAACCACATCCCCTAGAGGAGTCCGAGGAGGATGCCAAGGTCCCTTGGTTCCAAAGATTCAAGTCCATCCTGAGGCTATAGTAGTAACAGGCCACCCAGTGAGAAAGTACCCCTCAGACCTCCCCATGAGTCACCCCACTGGGCCGTATGGGACTGCCAACAGTCAACCACACCCAGAGCAGACTAGGCCATCTGTTTGTGATGGTGCTTTGGTCAGCTCCCCCTCTGCGTGTCACAGCATCTGGGTCTGCATCTTCAGATGTGTGTGCCTGTGGACAGTGCATGGTGGACAACTGCCACATTGATACCTGCTTGTTTGTGCGTATCTTATCAGGGATGACACTTAAGTCTCTTTCTGTAGGATAATTGGGACTTTGAAACCACCAGGCCCACCTTCACCATTTATTTATTTTACTTAGTATTAATTGTTTCTGGTGGTGGTAGTCAGGGGAAGTTGTAGGCAGGGGTTTCGTGTATCCCAGGCTGGCTTCAAACCAACCTTGTAGGCTGGGGATGACCCTGAACTTCTGATCTTCCTGTTTCCACCTCTTAAGGGCTGATGATGGCTCCCATAGCTGTGCCTGCTGCAGGGGCCTCAGCTTGTCCACCCAGTGCGAGTCAGAACTTCTGTTTGACCCTGCCTTTCCTGAATCCCAGATTGTGTCCCCGGGGAAGCTACCAGTTTCTCCACAATCTGGTTTATAATGCAGGCTGTTTATAGGCAGAGACCATCATGCTTCGCTCATTTATTTATTTTTGAGACAGGGTCTCATTATATAGCTTAGGCAGGCCTCAGGCTCATGACCTTCTGTTGGAGAACTACCATATCTTGCCTTCTATATCTTTATTAACTCTGGCTTCCCATTTCCCCCATCCTTCTGGCGTTGTCTGCCTTCTTCTCTCCCTATCTCTACCACTAGGTACCTATCCTAGCAGGAATGTGTGTCCACCTTACTCCCTCAGCCCTCTTCATGGCTAGTGCCTTCTCCTACAGGCCTCTCCTCACAGCACAAACTACAGGAAAGGGAGCAGCTATTTGCCAGTCTCTTAGCCCTGGAGGCCAGGAAGGGGAGAGAGACTTCCTGTTCCCAGGAGGAAGGAATACAGGGTAGAAACCTAGAGTTGGAATAAATGTAAGCTCAGATCCCAGCATTACCACTAAATGGGAAAGTAGCTGTCCCTGCCTAGCTCAGGAGTGAGGAAGAGAAAAAGGATACCCATTAACCAAGACAACGCACCAAAGCCCTTAACATAATGCCCATTCTACAGTTACTGCCTCACCTCCTCACTAGATTCTGACTGCCCTGCTACATCCTCTCCTTTCTCTGAGCCCCACCAGAAAATCAGGTTTCTAATCGGCTCTCTCTTCACCTCCATCTGAGTCTGGCTAACTCACCTTCAAGACTAGGGTAAGCTGCAAGACCACACGAGATGGGAGCACACTCAGAGATGGGCATGAACATCTTGGTTATGTAGGGACAAGGGGTGGGCTCTGGCCTCCCTCCCACCTCACCATCTGGAGAAAGCGACGGATGCGCTGGGCATCCTGGGCCCGGAACACGTGCCACACCGTGCTGGTCTGGCTACCTGGAGACCAGAGTCCCTCCCCATCCAGGCCTGAGAGGAAATCTGCAGAAGAAAGAAGGCCCAGGTGAGCGCACAGTCAGCAGAGGCACACATTATCGCTGATAGTTTGACTGGTGTCTCTAGCCCAAGGACTTACCTTTCTGTGCTCGGTGCCAGGCAGGCAGCTGTGCCTCAGCGTGCACCAGGATACTGATTAGGTCAGACACCTCCACACAGAGGTTCTTGGTCCCCAGGTGTCCACGGTGTGGCGTCACACCTGCATGGAGGTAGAACAAGGACAATTGGGAATTAAATAAGAGACATATTCTCAGCCCTAAGGCACAGATGTTCACTTCACGTGCCTGAAGATGTTAGGGAGGGAGCAGACAGGTGGGAGAGCACTTACCATAGGCTGCCCAGAGCTGGGGCTCCAGTGGATGCAGGGTCAGGCCCAGGGGGAGGTAGGAAGCTAGGTTGAGTTTCCCTTGGTGGGCACAGTACTCTGGGAGTGGAAGGCTGGAGGCAAGGTTCTCCACCCTGGGGATAGGGGTTGGGAGGGGAATCATGCATAGCAAATCTAATTCAGATACCTGAGACCCATCATAGCTCCCCACTGCTGGGGTAACATCCAGAGGGCAGAATCCATCATCCCAGGAATTTCTATCACTCCCACAAAGACAGGCCTTCTGTCCCTCTCTGTCCACTGTTCTAGCCAGACTTACAATCTAAGCCCCTTTAGAAAGCCTGGACATTAAGGTAAGGGGTAGGGAGAAGACAGCTGGTGGCTGGGAGTCAGGGCAAGTCTTTGCTTCTGTACATACCTGCTGGCATCCTTGTCTCCCAGGGTTCGGTGGAGCAGGAGCACAGAGCCCTCATCTAACTTTGGACGTGCTAAGGGAAAAGATAGATGTCAGTGACCCAAGGTAGAACCTTCTGTCCCAGAGACACCTTCCTGTCCCCGTGGCAGCCATACCTAAGTTCAGTTTCTACCTCGAACCCAGCTTCCAGCTGCCTCCAGAGCTACTCTAGGGTTCCCTTGATACGTGACCCCTCAGGGACATGCTCCCAGCTCCTTTAGCCCATGTCAGGAATACTTACTCTCAGGGTGAGAGAATCCCTCCCAGAATGCTGTGCTGTCCAGGCTTGTGGGCTGGGGAGGCCCGAGGGCAGTCAGTGTCTGCACCTGGCCACCAAGTGTCCCAAGAGCTTCCATTCCCCACAGGCTAACTCTCAGTGTCTTCTGGATGCCTGACACTAACACTGGCTGAGGGGAAGAAAAAAGAAGGACACAGAATGATGGGGGAGTCCATGGCAGTCAGGCTGGGGCATGTTGGGACAGCTCTAGAACCACTGGGGAGGGGCTGGGGACAGACCAACCTTGCAGCTCCCTCTGAACACCAGGACACCCTGAGCCTGAGGACCAGGACCGTGTGGAGCAGGTGAGGCCATAGCACTGGGAAGGGAGAGGCAGGCCAAGCTGGCCTGGCCCTGCCGCCAGTGTTCCTGGAAGAGGTGAAAGCCATGCCGAGGCCTGGGCTCTTGCAGCCACAGCAAAGCCCCAGGAGGAGACAGCCTGGATCGAACTGGTGACAGGGGCAGGCTCAGGCCCTTGCGCAAGCCTGCCCCTGCTCGAAGGCCTGGCCCCAGGGCTTTCTCTTGGATTTTCCTTTCTACTACATGTGCAATGATGCTGTCCAGGATGTTAGTGATACGGTCATCCTGTGGGGAGGCAGGAGGGACAGGAAGGCTCAGGACCTATATGGCCACATAGGGATGGCCACCCAGTCTCTGGTCCTCAGGCTCTTAGCCCTCCCTCTAAGCCCTTGCTCACACTGGGCAGAGCTGGAGTGACCGGGGCAAAGGCCATGTGAATCCGCTCATGCCCTAGGCAGAGTTTGACAGCAGTAGAGGCTAGCAGTTCACACAGAGAGGGACAAGGAAGGGGTGATCGGCTAGCACGGTCCTCTGCTGGGGTCTCAGTGGAGTCTGGGGTCTCTGTTGAAGAAGAAAATGGTGAGCGACTTTCTCCTTGGCCTGTAGCCTTTATCTCAAAAAAAAAAAAAAAAAAAAAAAAAAAATCTTCTCCGACCAAGCCTGCTCTCTCCTCAGCAGTACCCAAGTTGTACTCTGTTCTGTCTGGGTGTCACCCCACCATAGCCTTCCTAAACACAGCGGCAGACCCTCTAAGAGAAGTGGCTCAGAGCGGGAGTCTGGGACTAGGAGACAGCTCAGCAGGTTCTGGGACTAGGAGACAGCTCAGCAGGTGCGCACAGAGCATTTCTGTGTAAGCATGAGAATCTAAGTAGGAATCCCCAACATCAACAACAGTAAGAAAAAATGGGTGTGGTAGAACCTGCTACCACAGCTCTTGGGCTGGGGAGGGGGTGGCTCGGAAATGGGAGAGCATTGCTGAGGTTTGCTGGCCACCAACATAGCTTCAGGTTCTGAGAGAAACCCTGTCTGAGGAGAGTAAGAAAGAAAGTGACAGAGCAGGACACCTGATGTCGTCACACACACAATAAACAAATGAGTGTACAAATAAATAATAGGAGGTCTGGATGGAGGAGTCTGGGCACCCGTCTGGAGGCGAGGGATGGATATTCTTGCTCTCTGGGTTGCAGAGGGATGCCAAAAGTAATGCCAAGTTTATTCAGGAGACTTTTACTCCTCACTGCCCTCCTGTACTCACCACCCAAGGGACACGGGGAGCCAGCCACTCACCCTCTTTGATGTCCTTGGTCCTATTGGAATCTCCATTGCAGGAAGGTTTTGGAGTCGGAGGAGTTTTCTCTGTTGGTTCTTTCTGCTAAACCCATTGACCACCACCACCCCAAAACAAAACAAGAGATTTTAAAACTGGCAGACACAACTGAATTTAATGTTCAAGAATTAACAGTGTGTTCTTGTAAAGCCCTAAAGTGAAACGTTATAGTATGCAGAGTTAGAGAAAATAAAACTGCTGTGTACTTCTCTATAGGGCATGGTCTAAACAGCGTGTTATGACAGGCACAAATACATACATAGACAACTGGGGAAAGTCAAAATGTTAATAGCAACTTAAGGGGTCAGTATAATCTTCTTACTTATACTTGTCTATATTTTCCGAATTTTATATAATGGACATATGACAGCGTCTGGTATATAAAATATACTTCTTATCCAGGTGTAATCCTTGTACTCAGGAGATCAAGGCAGATGGACTACAAATCTCAGCTAACCTGAGCTGAAATACCTTATCTTTGAAAACACAAGCCCCACACAACAATAAAATGTACCTTTTGTTTTTCCATGTTGAGGATGGAACCCAGGGCCTTAAGCAACCCAGGGAAGCACTCTGGCACTGAGCTACACCCTAACTTTTTTTTTTCTAACTTGGTTTTTATGAGACAATCTCCCTGTGTAAACTAGGCTAGTCTCAAGCTCCTGTTTCTCCTGCCTCTCTACCTTCCAAGACATGTGCCATCATGTCCAGTTCATAAAATACCCTTATAGGGTCAGCAAGATGGCTCAGCAGGGAAGGGCACCTGCCAAGCCTGAGTTCAATCCCCGGAACCCACACATTAGAAAGGAAAGAGCAAACTCTTACAGTTTGTCCTCTGACCTCCATGTGTGTTCTTGGTGTGTGCTGTGCCCCTCCTCCCTCCACACAAAAATAAATAAATGTAAAAGTGTAAATACCCATAATTAACTCTTTCTCAAGTGAGTAACTTTCATCATAGAATGACAAAGTTCATAAAATCTTTTTTCAGTGCACATAAAGTGCCTGCCACAAGTGAGGTACCAGGGCTACTGAGAAGGTGTGCTGACACTGAACCAGAAAGGCCCCGTGGCTGGGGTGGCAACAGTAAGGTAAAGTATCAAGGGCTGACCTAGAAGACAAACTAAATGAGGCAGGACCCTAGGTAGCAGGGAGAGAGGATTTGTAAGGGATGGAAGGAAAAGGCATATGCTAGAGTCAACGTCAGGATCCTGATTCCTGGGAAGGTGGGAAACAGCTTGTTCCACCAGCTTCTCTTCATCCCCACCAACAGAGGAAGGCCAACCCCCTCCCAAGATCAGTCATATACATGCACATTGCTCAATACTGGAGCCTACCAACTGGCGGTTGTCACTCTGCCCATGCCCTGGTTCTTACCTGCTGACCCCCATCCCCAGGGGCCCACACACGGGCATCAACCTGGCAGAAACAGTGCCCACGGATGTCAAACTTGGCCCAGACTTGGTGCATCACAGTGCTTAGTTCTGCCAACGCTGAGTGTGTAGAAGAGAGATGGAGATGGAGCAGCCTGGCCTCACCAACCAGGAGACCATGTCACCGGGGTCAGGAACAACGAGACAGTATGAGTGTCTCCCTTGGGACCCACCCACTGCATGCCCCACCCCTCCACAATGGCTCACCCTGGCTGGAGACAAACTGGGTCAGAATCAGGGAACAGGCAGCATGCCCAGCCTCCTGGGCACACTCCTCTGTGTGCTGCTCCCGAAAGCCTGTGGGGTAGGAAGAGAGGAGCTGCAGGTCCAGAAAGCAAGGTAACCACAGGTTAAGGTCAAGGAAGAAGGCCAAGTACATGATATTTAAATCAGGAGTTCAGCAAGCCACACAAGTGCTTGCTGGGAAGCTTGGGTATATGTAACAACATAGAAGTCTTTGCTTTTGGAATGCAGAGATTTTCACATGCTGCCCTGCTTTGCAGGACCCTAAGGTGGGGGCCTATGAGATGGCTCAGCAGAGAGAGGCCCCAAGCCTAAGGACCTGAGTTTGATTCCCAAGAATCACATGATGGAAGGAGAAAACGGAGTCCCAAAAGATGTCCTCTGATTGTCACACATGCGCTGTGGCTCATGCATACATGTGTGTGTGCATCTCTCTCTCTCTCTCCCCCCCCCTCACACACACACACAAATAAATAAATAAATAGGTCAATAAATAAATAGATAAATATTTTTAATTGAAGATCCCAGGATGGTTATATAAGAATGTATCTGATTCTAGAACTCTTGTTAGCCATGTCTCCTGGAACACTGGGAAACTCCAAAACCCAAGGCAGTCAAATTGAGCCAGGGGTTTGTGAAAGTTGAATACCTTGAAAAGGATGGGACTGAGTCAGAAGAGCTGACTTGCTCTGGACCTCAGGCAGGTCAATGATCCTCTCTGAGTTATTCTGATGTGAAAATGAAGAAAATCACACCCATTTCACTGTGCTAATGTGGAAGCTGATTCAAGTGAGACTCGTAGAGTAGGTACCTGACTTCTGTGTGTGCACATTTGTGTGCATGTATGTGTCCACCTTATCCTTTGAAGCTAGATCTTTTACTGGACCTGGAGCTCATTAATTCAGCCAGGCTGGGTTGACCAATGGTGTCCAGCAATCTGCCTGCCTCTGATCCCCCAGTGCTAGGCCACCACACCCAGACTTAATGCAGCATCTGAACTTAGGTCCTCATGTTTGCTTGGTCAGGACTGAACTCATGCCCCCAGTACCCAGATATTCCACCTCTTTCAAGAGTGGGTAAGAAAGGGGCTGGGAAGATGGCTCGGTGGTTAAGAGCACTTGCTGATCCAGGTTCAGTTCCTACATGCACATGGCAGTTCACAACTGGATATAACTCTGATTTCAGGGGCTCTGACCCCAACTTTTCCGACCTCCACAGGCAGCAGGCACACATGTGATGCACACACACACATGCAGACAAAACCCTCATACATATAAAATAAAAACAAATCTAAAACCGCAAACCTGTTTTCCCTCACCTGCTTTCTCCTTGGCCTTCCCAGCTCCGGCTATGCGACCACAGGCTACACACAGCCGGTGGCTGCAGTGGGAACATCTCCAGTGGGTGTTGAAGAGTCCATGGTGGCAACGGCTGCAGCAGTGTGGAATGCCTGGGTTGTCCTCTGTCATGGCTGGCCCCTGGCCTGCTGACCACAGAACAGGGTCAGAGGGCTTCAGTACACAGCCCCCTTGGGACCACCACATCCAGCAATGGTTCTTAACCTGTGCACTGCCACCCCTTTGGGGGTCAAATGACCCTTTCACAGGGATTACCTAAGATCACCTGTATATATTTACATTATGGTTCATAACAGTAGCAAAATTACATTGATCCGTAGCAAGGAAAATAAGTTTATGGTTGATGGTCACCATAACATGAGGAACTGTGTTAAAGGGTCACAGCATTAGGAAGGTTGGGAACCACAGACATATAGGAAACAACGCGGGAGAAGCAGAGAGCAATTTCTACTGGAGCCAATAGAAGAAGGGAGCTGGCCATGCCTCATACTTTGCACAACATACTTGTCTGGCAGTAGCTGTTCTCTCCAGCACACACTCCCAGGGCAGTAGTGGCCTCAGCTCCCCAGGCCAGCCCCACCCCCAGACTTGCCCCAGGGATTTCCCCTGTATTACTAATCCACACCACTTCCAGCACATTTTTCCATCCACCACCCCACCCCCCAAGCCCTACTGCTACCAGAAATGGAAAGGAATAGCAGCTACCCAGGTGGCCTTTCCTCCAGGGGACTTAGTAGATTAAAAGAGGAAACCCTAAGAGACCACTCCTGCCCTTACTCAAAGGAATGGATATTTTTTTGAGAGTCAAGGTTCAAGGTTCTGACTTGGTAGGTGGAAAGGGCCCCACCGAGCACACATTCAAGGTGTCCCAAGTGGGCCCAAGCGACTCAGAGTTTCTCAGGAACAGGTCACATCCCATTTCCAGAGTTCACATCCCACTCAGGGAGACAACCCACAGACAGAATGATGACAGCAGGGCTCCTGGCTGAAAAGGCCATGGAAAGATGAGGATGACGTGGCAGGGGAACTTCACAAGTGGCCCCAAAGGATGAGTAAGTCCTTATCCACCAGGTAGGAAGGGATGCTCAGGGCATTCCAGATTGAGGGAACAGCTAGCGCCAAGGCCCCAGGGGACAGACGAGCTTGGTGATCCGGGAAGGGAAGGATGGGTAGCATGTATGCCAGGAATCCAGGCTGGGAGTGGCAGGATCCTATAGGAGCTGGCTTGTGACTGGACAAACTAGGGCTGCCCTCTACGGAGTAAGATGGTGACACTAGCGATTTCCATGCGAGGAGTAACATGTGGGCCAGAGCTGTGGTTTACAAAGATCATACTATTGCTAGAAAGAGCTGCAGCGGGGTGGCCTGGATCTGAGGACCCAGCTGGATGCTGAGTCTGTACCCTCAGCCTGAATCCCATCAGCTTTCTAGGTCCATGAGCCTCATCACTCTAGAGGCTTTCCCTGCCTTTCACCTCTCGGAAGCCCCGTCACCGTCCAGGCTCTTGAGACACTTGTACTGGCTGTTTCTCTATGAGCCCTATTGTTCTCAGAGAACTAGACTGAACCAAGTTTTTAGACTTCCCAGGAGGATCCCCACCCAGGGCCTCAGGGTTGACTAAGAGTCCAGGTTAGGAATAGGAATAAAGAAGGACAGAGCCCTTCTGAGTAGGCCTTGGAACCCCAAAGCACTAGTAAAGCATGGGTTGGTAGGACATGTAGGAGCAGGCCCACAAGGGAGGTCAGCTCACCTTCACGCTGTGCCCAGGCAAGAGCCTCCCGTTCCTTCCGTAGCAGGCGGCAGAGTCTGTCACCCAAACCACTCAGCAGGTGCTTGGCCAGGCCCTTGTTGAGGGGGGCTTCTGGGTCAGATCCTCCTCCCTCCTCGGAGCTGGCAGAGGAACCCTCCTCCTCCAAGTGCTTCTCTTCCAGAGGCAGCCTGGAGAGGAGATGAGGCAAAGGGGCTTGAGGAGGGGGCCCATCGGTGGGGGGGTGAGGGTGGGGGTGTTGCTGGCTGTGACGGTGAGGAGCAACACTCACCTCTGTGATTTCTTGGAGTGGCTGGTCAGTACTCCTACCTCTCCAGCTGCCTGGGCACAGCTTTGGCACTGAGTGATACCTGCTAAGTGAGCCTGGCAAGATGTATCCCGAAGCCTGGATTCCTGGAGGCCAATCCTGCCATCTTGGGATCCTGGGGGGACAATACAGCTGCTTAGGGAGTCTGGTTTCTGTGGCTTGTATTAGCCAAAGCCCTGAATCAGCACCCACCCTATCCAAATGTAGCCAGCCATTCAGCCCCTGGTCCCCAGATTTGTGAAGACTAATTCAGAACCAGAAAGAGAACCAGGCAGGTATAAGTTTCACACACATGGCTGAACAGTAGCTGGAGATATCCTTGGCTGGAATGGAGGCTGAGGGGCGGTTTAGTGTGTTCAACCCAAAGCTCTGGACAGCCTGAGCAACAGTCCTTGTACAAGTGCAGAATCCAGCCAGTATAGACTTTGAATAGGTCGACTAAAGGTTCAGTGGCTATGTGACACTCTGATGAGATGATTCCAACATGGATGGATGGGCAGATGGAGGGCACCAGAAAGTGAGAAGGCCAGAGTTTCAACACAGAACACAGGTGCTGTAACCCAAGACGGCAGAGGGGTCAACAACTCCCCAGCCCAGATGGAGGCATGCAAGGGTGCAGACAGACCCACGCCAGGTGCAGGGGCCTTAGGGTCAGGTCATAGAGACAGTTCTCTGGGCCCAGCAGTCTAAGAGGCTGAGAATGAGGTGATCTTGCAGAAACAAATCTGGCTCAAGAATTGCTGGAACCATCTGTGAAGAACACTGTGTAGTAGAAGAGTCCACGCTGTACCCAAAAGGCTGTCATGCTGGAAAGTTCAAACTGAGTCTCCATGATTCAGCGGGCCAAGAGAGGCTGACAGTGGTCCTTCAGGAAAGGAAATGCCTAAACGAGGACTTGTGGTACAAACAACCATGGCATTAAACATGTATTGTTTACTAAATGCCATGAGGTCTTCCATGTCCGGATGAGCCATTTACCCTTCTGTAGTCTTCATAAGGTAGGGAACATCTTTACTCCCACTATAGATGAGGGAACTAAGGTTTTCAGTGGTGAAATATCTTTCTTCAGGTACAGGTACTGCTCAGCATGTCACGAAGCAGAGAGCATCTCTGAACTACACCATTGAATTGCCAACCACTCACCAAGAGGCTAGAAAGCTGTGGCGGCCAACACTAGGAGCCAGAGAACTATGGTGGTTCCGGAAGGAACCCTGCCATCTTAGTACAACCCATCACAAAGGCCTATGGACTTCAGTCCCTTGTAAAGGCCCAGCCCTGTTGCCCCTTCTTCAACAGAGCCCCTGCAGCCTGTCACCCCCTTACCTCTCTGCTCCTCTTGTTGCTCTGCCTCCGCCTTGCTTCCTGTGGATGTGTCTGGTACCTCCTGCCAAGCCCTGGCCCCCTGCCTCCCAGTGCCTGGGAAAGGGCAGGATGGGCGTTTGGGAGCTGGGCCCTTTACTGCTCCTTGAACCTCTGGACTGCCTGCCCTCTTGAGTGCCCGGATCCCAGTGGCTGGGCTCTCTTCCTTCCCAGGACAACCACCTGGGCACTCAAACTGTTCCGAGTGGCGTGTGAGCCAGGTCTTCTTTAGCTTGGTGTGATGGCTTGGGGGACAGGCCCTGGAGCCAGCCTTGTTCCTTTCTTCACTGGATTCACCTGGCCCATTGGGACCTCCCTCTGGGCTATCCTGGCATTTCCTACAAGGGCCAAGATCCCCCTCTCTGGCAGGTAGGTGGGCTGAGCAACAGCCCCCCAGAGGAGCGGGAGCTCCAGGAGATGGGCATCTTGGTGTAACTGGTGGTTCAAGCTGATACCCAAGGCTATTGCTTCCTGTCCCAGCCCAAATGTTGCCAAGAGTGTGAACTAGGCCTGGGGGACAAGAGGGCCAGGGGGTCCGAGGAACAGTGTCTGGGTACCCTAGGAAAAGTGGACAAAGATTCTGCTGCCTGCCAGTGCCTGTCTCCCCATCCCTCTGGTGAAGTGAGAGACCTTCTGCCTCACAGGCTCGCTGGAGATGCCCACCAGGGGCTAAGCCCAACAACCCAGATTCTGAAGCTGCCAAGGGCTCCTTGGCTGGCCTGAGGATATTCGGATCCTTGTGGTAAAAGCCCTAAAAAGGGAGAAAGGGTTAAGTTAATGCCAATGTAGGTTCTCAGCATTTAAAAGAACAAGTAGGACTGATAGTAGCAGTTATTTAAAAAAATACGGCTATAAGGAGTCAATGATGAACTCACACACTGACAGATAAATGGCACCTCCCAGGTGGCTCCCCTACTACTCTGGGTTCCCCCTTGATCTTCTCCCAAGCTTTCTTAGATTCCTCCAGTATCCAGAGGCTGAGGGGTTAATGCTTGTCATGGCAAATGACATCAGGGCCCACTAGAGCTTCCCCACATGGGCTTTTGTGTGTTTTGGTTTTGAAGAAGGGATCTATGTAGTTCAGACTACCATGGAAGTCACAATCTTTCTGCCTTATAGGCACACACTATGATGCCCATTTTTGATCTCTAAATACTTAAAAATCTCCTTCTAGGCATGTGGGGTAGCCAGTCAGGAAGGAGCCCCAGAAACAGGCCACAAGGACAGCACATCGCACCCACTCTTTGCTCCCAGGATGAGGCTACACATTCCATGGGTAGAGTTTCTATGGCCTGATCCTGAGAGAGCTGTGGGTGAGTCAATGGTTGCAGAGGCCCAAGGGCAGGGCAGGGAAGGGCCAGGGAGCTGGAGCTGCCCAGTGTTTAGGTTTGTCTTCAGGGCTAGGGACAACTGAACCCCGTGCACCCATTCTGCTCCATCACTCACCTTGCTGCCTAAGCTGAAGGCAGAGGGCACTTTTGTCTGGCCTCCGGAATATACCCAGGGGTGCGGGGCCAAAGGCCAGTCATATGGACGCTCTGGGGGCAGACTGGACATCAGATAGGGCGGCAAGCAGGTGGGAACCCAGAAAGGAGCTCGCTCTAGAATCTTGGTCTCCAGCAGGAAAGGGCAGTGCAAGGGCCGGAAGGCTACAGGGTCACTCTTGGGATGGCCACCATTGTGCTCAGGTATCAGGGGCCCATAGCGAGGTGGGCACGCTGGCCCACAGAAGGCCAGCGGATGGGCCAGCATTGCTTCCTTCCAGCGCAGTCCTTCCTTGCTGCCTAGCCAGCTGGCCTTTCTCTCCCCATTCCGAGGACCCTCACCCTCCACCAGTGAGAGCGTGTCCTTGGGGCCTTGGGGGAAGCTAGGAGGGAGCCAGGAGTCTGGAGTGCTCAGGACGCCCCTCCAAAAGGGAGCAGGTTCTCCTAGGCACAGTGTCCCATGGCGCAAGCCATCCTGTGGTGGTGTACCGGGCTCCTGTCCCACAATGCCGTTCTCAGGGGCTGTCTTCTCCCAGGCTGGGGTGTCCTTCAGGAAGCTGGGCATACTCTCCATCACTCTCCTGCCCTCATGGGGCTCTCCCAGGAGGGGTCCTGGAGTATAAGGACAAAGTATGAACTCTCTAGGCACATGCCCCGTACCTTACCATGGGAACCACCCTGGGAATACCAAAGTGGCTCAAACCAGTAAAGCAAGTGCCAGGCCACAGCAGGGCACAAAGCAGCCTTCTACATGTGGCCAAAAGAATTCTGCTCGTGGCAGGAAGTTGATACCTTTTCCTAAGTTGTGATCCCTATCTGAATTTGGAGGTCCAAATTCAACAGAAGGTTGTCACTTGGAGGGTGAAAGGTTCTACCCTTATGGAACTAGGAATCTGGTTACAAGTCTTGGAAATGGATAGGAAGCAAGACTGTAAAAGGTTAGCTTCGCAGAAGGTAACTCAACTGGGAGGACAAGGAGGCTGGATCCTGGCTCTGACATGGTGTCATCTGCTATGCGGCCGCTCAGCAGATCATTTTCTCTTCTGAGCTTCAGTGTCCCCGCATGTAAAAGTGGGACTTGGGACACAGAGGTCTTTTCTAAACTTCAGCCTGTGGTTTTGGGGGTGCTGCCTTCCCACTCCCATCTCCAATCCCCACTAGGCTTGCAAGACTGGGATGTTCAGGCCTGGCAGGCTGGAGTCACTGGGCAGGGCAGCTAGCCAGGGCTGCTGGCTGGTGTCTCTCCCTACACCTGGGCTGCCCGACTCTGCCCCTTCGTGGGCTCTAGTTTCTTGGCATCTCCAACGGAGTACCAAGACAACTGCTGGGGGCTAGGATCTCAGCTCCCATGAGCAGGAGTAAACTAGCAGGTGAGAAGGGATTAAGAGGTTGCAGACTAGGGTGGGTTGAGCTGTCCAAACGACAATACAGGGCACCGCTGCTAACTGCAGCCCGGAGGGGGGAGGGAAGGAGGCGGGGAAAGCAGGCTGGGCCCCAGAGATACGCAAGCGAGGGAAAATTGAACAAGCAAGCAAGGGACCAGGATGACAGGTGGCACCAGATCAGCTGAACTCTCCCGAAGCAGTCCCCTTGGCTGGCCCGAGGAAGCCCCGAGAGGGATGGTACAGGAGCCGTGGTGGAGGCGCCAAGAATTTTTGAAGCTACAGCCTGCGCGCGGTCCAGCCCCCTTAGTTGGGCATCCTAACTTTTTCATGTTAATAAGTGAGGTCCAGTCCAGAGTAGCACCGGTACTTCACTCCCCGCCTGCACCTTGGAACGGGCTCATAAACCCCCCATTACAAGTACCCCAAAAGGCGCCCCCTCTCGGCGCTTACCTGGGCTTCACAGGCCGGGCGCGGTGTGGGCGGCGGTCGTGTTGGTCGGCGCGGGGCACTCGCTCCCCATGGGCCGGCTTCGGGGCGTTCTCCCTCTTTCTACTCAGCGCGCTCGCGCTCTCTTTCCCCCCGGGCGTCGGGGGCGCTCTAGGGCCGCAGGTTGGAGGGGTCGGACTCCGGGATTTGCAGGATGCGGCACACGGCGCGGATGGGCCGCACCAGCTTCTGGGCCAAGGCTGTAGGTTGCGCCATGGGACGCCGAGACTCCGTGCTGCGCTTTGAGGAGGGTCGGGCCGGGGCTAGGGAGCGGTGTCCCTGGAGGGAGAGAAGAAACCGGGCCGGGGGGAACGCGCGCCCCGGTCGGAGATGGCTGAGTGGGGGGAAAGGCCGAGAG